TGATAATTCCAAATTCTCAACTCCTTAGAGTCTTAAATTTTTTTTAAACATTAATATTTTTATGATTCTCAGATTTTGTAGCTTATTTCCTTGTATCATATGTTCTTGTAATTTTATATTTCTTTATCTTTCTGCATGGAAATCTTGGGCACCTGAATCAGGAAAGCTGATAGAAAGGATTATGGAGCTAGTGTGGTGCTACTAACTGACAGTGAGTTGAGATTCTGGCTAAGGTTAACTTTGCTACTTTTCCATAAGCTGAAAGCTGAGGGTCTCAATTGCAGTGTTGTTTCGATCAGAAGCAAACATAGATTTTCTCTGGAGGAAAATGTCCTCCAGATTGAGGCTTACCATGGATGCCTGCATGGGTGACATGGGGAAAGTTCTGAAATTTCTAACATTATAATAAACAATTCTCTTTTGTTCCAGTTTTCTTGAGTCTGATACTATCCTTAGGATGGTACAGGGTGTGACAAATGATACTTTATTTCTGATTTCTTCCTGTCCCACCCCTATGTTTATTAATATCAAATTTTGTTAAAATGATATTGAGTTATTTCAACAGAGCAAAGAAGTAGATGAGAAAGAGGGTGTCATAAAAATTTATCCCTCAGGCGTTTAAAGCAGCTGTAGGCAGAACCACTATTTCATATTCCAAGGCAACTTACTTGAATCATTACCCAGTTGCTTGGATCCTCAGGTAGAGATGTGAATAGTCCAGCAAAAACTTCTCTTGATATAAATATGAGTGGATGAAAAAATGAGCCCTAGAAAATCTCTGCTGAAGCCACTGGAAATGCTTTTGGAAGTAGTAACAGAGTAAAGAAATAAATTATGATTTTAAGTACTTAAAAAGGACTGTGGAGAATGAAACTTTTTTATTCTCTTAATTTTAACCCACTTTGCAATAATGATGGAAGATTTATCAGAACTTAATCATACTCATAGATTCCTTCTGAGTATATGGCCCCATTTCTAGGGTTGATGGAAAATGTGATGCTTATGTTGTTAGGTATAGATAGAGTGAGAAATTTATTTCTCAAGGAAATTGATAAGATTATAAAAAGAAATGGCTGGCAGATTTTCCATAGTATCATAGAATGTCTAAATTTAGATAGTTTCTTGATTCCTCAAAAATTCTCAGTTTTAACCATTTATCTAGGTGTGATCAGACTATAGATAAGTGGTTCCATGTCATCCAAACTTTGGAGAGTCTGATTGTAAACAAGAATGTTATTTAATATGATCAATAAATTAATAAACTAATACAGTCATTTAAATCTGACATTCCATGTCAATTGATATGACTAGTTAGGAGTTCAGATGATAGAGAGGTCCATCTACCTAGGGAAAGGAAGGAATGAAGCCTGGATGACTTTTTCTGGCCCCAGAGAATATCTCTGGTGTATACTTGATATTGTTTATTAGAATTAGAGATCTTCAGCTCGGTGGTTTGTGACCACCTAGAGGGCTGGGATAGGGAGGGTGGGAGGGAGGGAGACGCAAGAGGGAAGAGATACGGGAACATATGTATATGTATAGCTGATTCACTTTGTTATAAAGCAGAAACTAACACACCATTGTAAAACAATTATACTCCAATAAAGATGTTAAAAAAAAGAATTAGAGATCTTTTTTCTTAACTATTTAAATTTTTTACAATAATTTCTTTTACTTGCTCCTTATTGCTCATGTAAAGGTGAAAGTCAGACATTAAAGAAATCTTGGGCAAAATTAATCCTTGATTTTTATTATTTTCATTTAAATATGATATCTTTTTTCACTTTGGGGTTGCTCTTGATACTAGATGAACAAGGATTTTGAAATTAATTCTCATTCAGTTTTGTGGATGCTTTTAGATGATTTTAGATTTAGGGTTAAAGTTAGGATTTAGGATCTTAACATTTTATTCTGCTATTTGTGTTTTATTTAGATCCAGTACTTCCCTATTTATTTTTTGACTACAGAGGATAATAAACTGAATATTGTAAACGTAATAATGAAAAAAATCGTTATATCTGCAATTTTACTTATAGAATCTTTCTGAATTGTGGAACTAGTCTTAAGCCCTGTTGATTCAAATTGAGAATTGATTATAAAAAGACTGTGTGTAATTTGGGAGTTTCTAAGGAGAGTCTAATAAATAGTACCTTCTTTTTTACTTTGGTTCTGAATCGATTGAGAAAGAAAGAAGTGGCAGATGTGGGCCAAAGTATCAGCTTTACTACTGATAAAAATTAATTTGGAAGATATGGCTTCATGGGAGAGCCAAATGGATGCATTAATTGAACCACAAACCTGACAGATTTGTACACTCACTTATTGCAGTGCCAATCCAGTGAAGAGGCTGAGTAGGTACCTCCTCCTCAGGATCCCTACCTAGATCCCAAGAAAGGAAGGGTGAGGATGAGCCCAAAATATACAGTATATTCCTCCCAATCAGATAAGTCATTTCATAAATGGATGTGTTAGTTTCCTGAGGCTTTTGTTACAAATTCCCACAAACTTGGTGGCATAAAACAACAGAAATTTATTCTTTCACAGTTCTGTGGGACAGAAGTCTAAAATCAAGGTGTCAGCAGGGTTGGTTCCTTTCGGAGGCTCTGAAGGAGAGTCTGTTTCATACCCCTCGCATAGCTTCCAGTAGCTGTGGGCAGTCTTTGGTGTTCCTTGGCTTGTAGATGTGTAACTCCAATTTCTGCCCCCATTTTTTTCTTCCCATGGCCTTTATACCCAGTGTCTTTGTGTTTATTTCCCCTTCTCTTCTAAAGAAGCTCATCATTGTATTTCTCCTAATCCAGGATCATCTCATCTTTAGATACTGATCTTAATTAGGTATGCCAAGTCCCTTTTCACAAATAGGGTTATGTTTACAGGTTCCAGGTAGACATATATCTTTTGGCAGGACCACTATTTAATACACTAAAAGGGATGGAGAGGCCAGGAGTTGGAGTATTTAAATAAGTAAACTTGCTGCTTGCTAGGAAACATCAAGATCTGGGAGCAGGCGTTCCTCCCTAGCATTCCTAGCTTTTTGTTCTCATGGTCAGCCAGTTGTAGGAGATCAGCAAAAATGGTCCTGTTCCCCCCTCTGTGATTGCGTTGTTGGCATTATCTTCAATTTGTGTTTCTTTGGCAGAATCTTTTAAAGCCACTTGTCCATTTTGTGATCATTAATAGTTAAAACTAGGTAATATCTGTATATCCATTTAACTGCACACAAATAAATGTCAGTTTGTCAGTTTTTTCAATACATTGAAAGCAAACAAACCAGTGAAGGTGCCATGTCAACACCCTTGAGATGTAGATTTCCCCAAATTCTATAAAGATGCCTTGTTACCTGTATGTCATATGGACTGAATGAGAGTGCCTTTGTTGCTCTGATTATGAAGTATTAGGAACATTTAATTTCTTTCTTACTAAGAATTAAATAGAAACAATTGTTTTCCTCCCACACTTCAACGGATGTGCACTCCCTAGTATCATTGTGGAACACATAAGTCTAGATCACCACTGATTGTCTAATACAGCTTTTTGCAGTGATGTAGGACAGTCTGTATATGTGTTGTGCAGATATGGAACACTCAAAATGTGACCAGTGTGACTGAAGAATTGAATTTTTAATTTCACTCAGTTTTAATTAATTTAAATGTAAATTTAAATAGTTATATGTGGTTAGTAAAGCAAAGGCTAAATATTTGTCAGTGTCTAGGCTAAAAATATTGGGAGTAGTAGAATATAGAGAATGATGAACATTATAAGAACCGTTAACATGCCTCTGGTTTAATTTAAATGTCTTTATTTTAATGGCATTAGCAAAAGTAAAAGAAAAAGTTTATCCTGAATTAGTAGCTTATCTACATTTGTTAAAGGTTTTAGACTTATTTCAACTTAGAATTTTTTTTTCATACTTGAAAATTAGATGTAAGTTTCGTATCTTTTCTCTAATTATATTCTCTAGAGCTAAATTCATAACAAAATTACTGCTTTTCAGGAAAGATACTGGTAAATATGAAGTGGAAATTTGTCAACCTGGGAACATGCTTACTCAAGAAATTGTGTAAATGTTATTTCACATTTCTCTTTGCTGAAAATATAAATTAAACTAATGCATACAGAAAGATTTTACTTAAAAAGCTATAACAAAAAGCTTTTTTTTCTTTGTAAGTATGATACTACTTAATGGATATAATATTTTATAATATAGAAAGTGTTACTTTATGTTAAATTTATTTTTCAGACATGTAAGCAGATTTTGCTCTCATTCCCCAGTTATACCATAAGTGTTTTATTATATAAAAACTTTTAACTTAATATTCAATAGCTAGTTAGCCCATCAATTTTCTTTTTGTCTTTGATTAAAATATGGCTAGATAGGATGTTTATTCTCCTTACTGCCAATGAATAACAACATAGCATTAAACTCATTTAAAAAGGAAATGTGACAATAAGTCAAGTATAGTTCACACTTCTTAGATTTTATATGGTTTAAATTTTGGAATATTTTTTTTTTTTTTTTAATGCCAGAAGAAGGTGTACTTTAAACTTGATGTTTTTGAGCAGAAAACATTCCTTTCAACTACTGCTGTAAAGTTGATGTCCCTTAAAAAATTACCAAGTTCTTTAATTCTAGAATGTCTGTTAATGTACATGGGTGGAATGGGGGGGTATATGTGAACGATTTAGAGCACATAAGACTGAAAACATCTTTTAATATACCTTTAATTCAGAAAAGTAACTTTTTCCCTGAAGTTTTTTCCTGTTATTTTCTGAAAATGAATTCAGAATTATATTTAAAAAATTCTTCAGGAGACTTTTTTGAAGTTTTATCTTTAAATACAAAAGAAAAAAAAACCCACCCTGATGTATATAACAGTTTAAATTTTGAACTTATTTAATTGAATTATCATTATAAATGATAAAGTAAGGAAAAGAGAAACATTTTAAGTGAAAACAAAGCTATGGCTAAAAGTGCTATTTATTCCTTTGTCTTTTGACAGCTGGAAGGTCCATGTGTTTTGCAAATTCAAAAAATTCGCAATGTTGCTGCACCAAAGGATAATGAAGAATCTCAGGCTGCCCCAAGAATGCTGCGTTTGCAGATGACTGATGGTCATATAAGTTGTACAGCAGTAGAATTTAGTTACATGTCAAAAATAAGGTAATTGGCACTTTATGGTATACATTTGTTATAAGTGTTTAAAGGTACTGTTCACATTGGATTTTGTTTTTAAGACCTTTGAAAAGAAGGAATGAACTCTTAAGTGCATGTTACAGTTTTTCTGAATAAATTAAAGAGTTTGTATTTTTACTTTATCTGTAAAGAAAAATAGTTTAAAATGGAGTTAGTTGCTCCTTACTTTTAAAGTTAATAATTAAAAACAGAAATTTAAGGTGTTCTTACATGGAACATAAGCTTTTCAATTTTATCACTAAATTTTAGGTCATTAAAATCTTTTCAGAACAAAAATTTCTCTAAATATGTCAAAATTTCTTCCTTGACAGTTAGTTTTATCCATTATACTGTTTAGCAGTCTAGACATGGTACCCTGATAGCAGATGAGTGAAAAGTTACACTTGGAGGAGCATAGGTGATTGGCATTGTGGTATGTGGGAGGAGATGTGGTAGGTTGAGGCCTTGTATGCCATGCTCAATGATTTCTTTTTTTCTTTCTTCAACTAGTGTCTGCCTTTAGTGAGGGAGGCTCCTTCCTTAGAAGATATATTTATTCGTCTAAAATGTTGATTTTCATATACAAAGGGGCATATATTGACTTTGTGATTATGTTGTCTTTTTTTTGAAGAGTAGAAAGAGTCCTACTTTTATGGAGAAACTTCCATAAAAGGAAACACAGCCTTTCCTCCTTTGACAAATTTAATCAGATCCCCTCCAAGGGAGTTCACAGATGCCTGAGAAGAAAGACTTGCCATATAATGGCTCATTCTCTCATTTTACTGCTGTATATTTCTCTGAGGTAAATGAAAACACAGGATCAACCCAGAGAGGAGGGTCCCTTATGCTGTTTTCTTTTGTTGAATTTATTACAGTTTGACAGTTGAAAAAAAAAATGTTGCTACTTTCTCATTCACTCATCATTGAAGTAGCATGTCTACTTTTGGTGCTGTAAAAACAACAGCTTACAGAAGTGTTCTCACATATGAACAATTTGGGAGACCATTTTCAAAATAAATTTGATTATTGGTTATCTTAGAAGGAAGGTAGAAGAACTCACTAGAGAGGATAAACCAGGAACTGGTGTAGAATGTGTTTTCTCTACTGGACATTGCATTTCTCTGGGGTGCTTCTTTCCATTCATCTATCCTACCTCCAGCCCCACTTCTCACTGTATTTTTGTTTTTGTTCTGTTTTTTGTTTTTGTTTTTAATTTCAATGAAGAGAGAATAAAGGAACTTTGGAGTGTGAATAAAGTATTAATTAAGCCACAGTATGCTCTCTGAGTAAGAGTTAGTTATGGCCCTGAAGGTGATGTAATAAAAATTATATTAAAATTTTAGCACCTATTTATTCTTTTGTGGGAATAGAACTGTAATTTAATTTGGTGAATAGAACTCTTTATCAATTATCTTAATGAAATTGTATGTCCAACTTCAAGTAATTCACCATGTTTTCCTTCTTAACCTGTTAGAGAAAGAGTTTGGGAAAGGTACAGTTATTTTACATAAAAAATTAGCTCATTATCTGCTTTCAGATTAGCTTTTAGTTTTAAAAATCACAATTTAAATGCCCTTGTAATTTGCTTGCTATTTTTTAAGGTCTTTTGTAGCTTCTTATGTTGCTAATTTGTGTTTTTTACATTTTCATTTCATTTCCAATTTACTAATGTGTTAGAAATTATTGGCGAAAAATGGTTTTAAAGAACACATATTGGTCTTATATAAATGATGTAATTCATTAATAATTTCTTTAGAGGTAAAGAGTATAGCAGCCTGGTACCCTTGGTGCTTAGTTTTTTTATTTATCCCTAAATGATGACTATAGAGTTAGAAAATCTGTATCTGCTGATTACCTGGAATTGGGAAAAACTTCACTTAGTGTAAGTGTATTCACTTGTTGCTGATCTTGAAGTTTGATAGACATTGTGGTAAGTTGCCTACATTTACCACCACACAGCTCTCTACTTAAGAGTTAGGTTAGGCAAGGCTGTCTATGACCATTTGTTTTCTAAGTTACATAGGATGACTAAGAATGATTAAGCTTGGAGTCCTGAGAATAATTTTTACCAGATAATGTCTTACTCCATATGGGCTCTTTGAAATCTTAAAAATAGGCATATTCTATTTTTTCTTGTTAATAACTATTTTATCAACCGTCTTTCTTAAAATAGACCAGAGATACCAGTGCTTTCATTGATTTGCTATTGCACTTATCGGCACATGGTGAATTTTATAAGCTTATAAAAATGTGACAATGTAGGGGGCTTCCCTGGTGGCGCAGTGGTTGAGAGTCCGCCTGCCAATGCAGGGGACGCGGGTTCATGCCCCGGTCCGGGAGGATCCCACATGCCGCGGAGCAGCTGGGCCTGTGAGCCATGGCCACTGGGCCTGCGCGTCCGGAGCCTGTGCTGTGCGGCGGGAGAGGCCACAGCAGTGAGAGGCCCGCGTACCGCAAAAAAAAAAAAAAAATTTGACAATGTGAAGTCTTTCAGCATGATTTTCTAATTTATCCCAAGTGTTTTAGGACTATCTTTATTCCTATTTGGAGTTCTTTACCCCTTGCTGTATGTGCGAAGAGATGCAGTGGGGCTTGGTATATGTGCTTTTACTTTAGAATAAACCTATGTGATGAAATGGATTTCTTCCACTGTTTCCTTTATTAAAAGATTGATAGGAGGTGTTTTCTCTGGTGTTTGTAAAAGGGGTCATGGTGTTATAATGTTTGCCCCACATCTGATAATGTTAACCTATTATGAAAAAATACTTTTGAAGTCAGTATGCTTTAGAGTAAATAACTCTCATTTGATCTTTAACTGGATAGTTAACCAAAAAGAGCATTGTTTCATGTGGATTACAGTAACTCACATAGGTGTTCAATGTCTAAGATTATTACTGGTTTGATATCTCTTCTGTATTGAAATTTAATTTTATAATATAGTATATCTTTGCAATAATGCACAAAGCTCGGAGGGGGGACAAAAGGGCAAATCTTACATTTATACAACATGGCATGGTTGAGAAAGTACTTTCATATCTTTTACTCTATTTATCTTTACCATAAGTTTGTGAGCTGTGATTTTTATTATCCAGATTTTTTTATTTGTTTGTTTGTTTACTGACTTATTTTTTATTTATTTTGGCTGCTCTGGGTCTAGTTACAGCACACGGGATCGTCGTTGCAGCATGCAGGATCCTTAGTTGCAGCATGCAAACTCTTAGTTGCGACATGCATACGGGATCTAGTTCCCCGACCAGGGATCAAACCTGGACCCCCTGCATTGGGAGCACCGAGTCTTACCCACTGGACCACCGAGGGGGAAGTCCCTATCCATATTTTTTTACATGTAGAAAAAAATTAAGGTAGAAAATGACAGTCTTGTACCTGGTCTTCTGACTTCCTCCCTGATGACCTATTCACACTATATAGCCAGTCACCTGAAAAATAGTTTTCACATTAGTGCATTTTGAAGAATTTTACCAGGTCACAGTATAAGACTGAATTCCAGTTTGGGGAAGGATCTTAAATATGTTTTAACTTTTTTTTTCTCTTTGCTTTAGCCTGAACACACCACCTGGAACTAAAGTTAAGCTTTCAGGCATTGTGGACATAAAAAATGGATTCCTGCTCTTGAATGATTCTAACACCACAGTTCTTGGCGGTGAAGTAGAACACCTTATTGAGAAATGGGAGTTACAGAGAGTAAGTGTAAACTAAGAATGGTTTGAACTTTTAAAACACTACACTCTTTTTATTGTATTCTCTGTTTTAAGGGATCTTTCTATAATGGCTAGTAAAATTAGTTCTTTATGCCAGAGTTGAATAGAATGGAACACAGTGATCTTTACAGAAACTATCTACCTTTGTTTAACCATATTGTTCTTCTAAAACAGATGTCATTTTCAGTATTTGTTACATTTTATTACATATTTTAAAGGCCATTCTTTACTGAGGAGTTTTCAAAACTGCCAAGATACCAGTTGTAAGATATGTGTAATGTACCTGTATATAATTCTTTGTTCAGAAAACAAGTGTTTGTGCATATATATGAATAATGTATGTGTATTTGTCTTATTTACACAAACACACACACACACACACAGATACAAGTGAAGGCAAATTAGAATTTCACTATAATGAAAGAGTTCTTGTTGCATTTGTCTTCCTAGTCACATTAGTTGATGTTTTCACCATTTATGTTAACAGTATCTTTATCCTCCTAGTCATCTAGGTTATCTAGTAATTGTCCTTCTACTTTGCTTCTAGCCACCAGTTTTATTGATCCTCTGCAGTCAGATCTCTTGTCAATCCCTTGCTCTCAGGTTCCATTGCCATTATTGTAGTTTAAGTCTCTGGCCTGGACTACTTGCAGCCTTTTAACTGGTTCCACCATATACCCTTTCTCCATCTTCTAACTTATTGTACTTCTGCCAGATTATCTTCAACATAATTCAGATCATGCTACACCCTGCTTTTATTTCACATACCTTAATCTGGGATTCAGGTCATTTATAATTTAGCCCTAGTTCCAGCTTACCTTGTCAACTTTCTTAATTTTTTCACATAGGTTTTGTTTTAGCTAAATGGAACTACTTACTCTTTCTTTGATTCTCTAAGCTTTCCTCAGTTGCACTTTTGAAAAAGATTTTCCCACTTTTAAGACATTCATCTTAGTTTCTCTCTCATTCCCATGCTTTTAGACTCAAAACAAGTGCTCGTTTTTTTCACAAAATGAAATAATTGCTCCTTTATTGAATTATTAGAATACTTTATTCATTGTATTAAGAAGTATATTACTTTTTATCTAGCACTAAAATTATGTTTATTTCTTATCTCCTTTGATTGTAAGCTTTTTGAGGTCAGAATTCTTGTTTGTGTTACCTTTATTCAATTCTAGAAATATTTGTTGAACAGTGTGTAGGTCTTGAGCTGGGCGCCTGTATCTGTATATCATGTAATTCACCTAGCAGTCTTGTAAGAGAGTGTTATGTCCATATGGATCAGAAAATAGGCTTTAAGAACCGTTAAACTTATTTTATGATTAGACTACTAATAGGTGATGGATCTAAGCCTTCCTGTATCTCCAAAGTGGTGGCCCTGAGTCTTATATGTAATAAACATCATAATAAATAATAGTGAAATAAATGAATTACAAGCACATAGAGCTAATTACTCTTTGAGTTAGAATTCATGTTTTTGTGCCACTCTCAGATCTTGTCTGTTGTCTAAAGTGAGTCAAGGGGCCTAGCAATATTTCAAGCTTTTGGTATTTTAAGATAAATTACTCTTTTCTATCTTCTAAGTTTGAAAGTGCCTCTGTTTGGGATGTAAATAGATAAGGAAATTTAGGCACATTTTTTATTCCTTAGTACTCATTCCTTATGATACTAATGTGCTACACTTTGGGCTGCTGTGAAATATAAGATACTATTATATACTATATAAGATACTATGAAATATAAGATAATATTCCTTAACTGCATTGTTTGATTGAAAATGTTGCACAAGCAAGTAAATCAGAAGTGGTTTGATAGTTTTATATAAATAGCCAAGTTTATGAACTTAGAATTTCCTGGAGAAATCCCACCCATTTCATGTAATCTTTTCCTTTCACAAATTGATATATTGTATTTTTATTATCATTAGAGATTTTTTAAAGTGTGTTAAGATGTTGTCAAGTCAGACCAACATATTATACATAATTTTTACAACCCAGCCAGAACTACCTTACTAATTGTAAAGTCAGTCAGACATTCCTAGGAACTTCCTCACCTCCAGCACACACACATACACACACACAAACACATACATGGATCAGTAGTACTTTGACAGTTATTCTTGTAATGTTTTATTATATATTTTTGCACTTTGTTTCCTGAAAGCCATGCTAGTATTTCTTGTTAGGGGGCAGTAAAAATTTACATGAAAAAGAGTTTAAAAACATCTTAATATGATAATAGTTCTCTTTGGTTTTATAGTTTTTTTGATTTTGGTAACTATAATGTTGTAGAAATCATGGAGAGTTCAAATTACTTGAGCATCTGGCAGGTGAAACACATAGAAATCAAATGTACACATAGAAATAATAAACCATAGAGTTAATTTTGGAAGTAATGGGGTCCTAGGCATTCTTGCAAAATAAATAGAGGGGGAAGAGAACATTGGATAGTATTTAAAGCATGTATAGGTGTTGTAGTTGTAGCAAGTTGGATATAGACAGGTGACGAAAAGAAAAACTCAAACCTCAAAGTATGATAAAGATAGGTTTTGGAGAGTTCTGTAGCAGATATAATTTGTAAAGTAATGTAGTTCTATAACATTTTAGTGCTCCCCCCCCACTTCCTATGACAGATAATTTTTTAAAAATTTTTTCTGATTTTAAAAATTGTAAAGTATACATAACAAAGTTTAACATTTTAATCATTTTTAAGTGTAAAATTAAGTGGCATTAAGTACATCCTTATTGTTACACAACCCCCTCCCTCCAGAATTTTTTATCTTCTGAAATTGAAACTCTGTACCAATTAAACAATAACTTCCCATCCCCCCCTCCCAATCTCTGGCCACCTTGTACTCCAGCTACCTCATAATAGTATAGTCCTATAGTATTCGCCCTTTTGTGTCTGGCTTATTTCACTTAGCATAATGTCTTCAAGGTTCATCCATGTTGTAGCATGTGCCAGAATTTACTAACTTTTTAAGGCTGAATAATATTCCATTGTATGTAAATGCCACATTTTGTTCATTCATCCACTAATGGACATTAGGGTTGTTTCCACCTTTTGGCTATTGTGAATAAAGGTGTTATGAACATGGGTGTACAAATATCTGCTTGAGTTCCTGCTTTCAGTTCTTTTGAGTTTATACTCAGAAGTAGGATTGTTGGATTGCATAGTAATTCTGTTTAATATTTTGAGTAACTGCTATATTGTTTTCCACAGCAGCTGCACCATTTTACGTTCCCATCTGCAATGCTTAAGTGATCCAATTTCTTGACATCCCTGCCAACCCTTGTTATTTCATGTTTTTTGGATAATAACCATCCTAATAAGTGTGAAGTGGAATATCATTGTGGTTTTGATTTGCACTTCCCTAGTGCGTAGTGATGTTTAGCATCTTTTCATATGTTTACTGGCTGTTTGTATATCTTCTTTGGAGAAATGTGTATTTAAGTCCTTTGTCTATTTTAAATTTTGTTGTTGTTGTTGTGTGAGTTTTTGATTTATTCTGGATATCAATTCCTTATCTGATATATGATTTGCAAATATTTTTCACATTCCATTGGTTGCCTTTTCGCTCTGTTGGTAGTGTCCTTTGAGGCAAAAGCATTTTAAATTTTATTGAAGTTCAGTTTTACCTGTTTTTTTCTTTTGTTGCCTATGTTTTTGGTGTCATATCCAAGAAATTGCAAAATCCCAATGTCATGAAGCTTTTTCTCTATGTTTTCTTGCTGAAGTTTTATGGGTTTAGCTCTTTGGCTCTTAAATTTAGGTCTTTGATACATTTTGAATTAATTTTTGTACATGGTTTAAGTCTTTTGCATATGGATATCCAGTTTTCCCACCACCATTTGTTGAAGAGAATCTCCTTCCCCTATTGAATGAGCTTATCTCCCTCATCAAAAATCATTTTACCATATTTTTTTTCTTTATTTTATTTCTTTATTTCTTTATTCTGTTAGTCTGTCTTAATGCCAGTACTGTTTTGACTACTGTAACTTTGTAGTAAGTTTGTAATCAAGAAGTATGAGCTTTGTTCAGGATTATTTTGAGTATTCAGGGTCCCTTGAGATCCCATATGAATTTTAGGATGGATTTTTCTGTTTCTGCAAAAAGCATTCTTAGGATTTTGATAGGAATTGCATTGAATCTCTAGATCTGTTTGAGTAGTATTGCCATCTTAACAGTATTAAATCTTCCAACTCATGACCATGTGATGTCTTTTCATTTATTGGTGTCTAATTTCTTTTAGCAATCTTTTGTTGTTTTCATTGTATAGATCTTCTTCTTTGTGTAATTTTATCCCTAAGTATTTTATTCTTTTTTATTCTAGTATAAATGGAAGCTTATAACTTGCAGTTGCTTTTTGCTTAGCCTAGTTCTCAGCAGTGACTTAAGGGAATTCCTATACAGGTTTCTGGAGCTTCATTTCTGTACAGGCCTCTCTTTTTCAAAACTCTGCCCCAGAGCTTCCAGTTATTTCAGCCTGGCTTGAGCTGTGAGACATTTTCTCAACTCAGATCTCTGTGCTGTCTGTCTGCATTATGCCTCCAAGCAGAAAGGCAGAGTTCACCTGTTTTTTTTTTTTGTTCTCTTTCTCTTTGGGATTACAGTCCTGTGCTACTTTTTGCCCTATGTCTTAAAACAGTTGTTTCCTACATGTTGTCCAGATTACTAGTTGTAGAGGGAGATTAAGTCTTGTCTCTTACACAGTCATAGGATGGGAAGTAGAAATCCTGTAATATGCTTTTAATTATATACTGTGTATTGAGAGATGGTATTATTGGCAGCTTATGTGAACTTTTAAGGAAGTCATGGCATAAACTGAAATGATTTATTGCTCTTTGAATGGTCTTTTTCTTTAATCTAAATTAAAACTGGACCCCTAGATAAGTTTATGCATTTGCTGTTTTTTTCTTAAACTAGGTTAACATCTTAAATACAGCTTATCAAGAAATGTGATATTCATATACAGTTTAAATT